CAACGGGCCGCACGCGGATGCGGAGGCGGCCATGGGAACGACTCATCCCTTTTCCAGCCCTGGGGCGGGGCTGGGGTTGGGGTCGGGGCCCATAGGCGCTCCTCCCCCGTCTCCTGGCCTGCCCCCTTCCTGGGCCGCGATGATGGCGGCCCTGTACCCGAGCATTGACCTCTCGGGCGTCTCCTCCTCCTCCCTGCCTTCCTCCCCATCCTCCTCTTCCTCGCCAAACGAAGTGATGGCGCTGAAGGATGTGCGGGAGGTGAAGGAGGAGAACACATTGAATGAGAAGCTTTTCTTGCTGGCGTGCGACAAGGGTGAGAACTAGGCCCCTTTTTCTGCCTCTAGACGCCCCTGCGCGTGCCCCCCAGTTCCCCTGCCTGCACTCACTCGGGTATCCTCCCGCCGCGCTTTTGTTCCCGCAGCGCCGCCTCTGCCTCGGGAGTGTGGAACTGGCGGGCGGGTGGAGCTGTTTCGCTCGTCGCCCCTGGAGGCCACTCTGGAGTTGGCTTCCCTTTATGGGGTCAGGTGTAGAGATGCCGTCGTGGAAGCTCAGACCCTGGAGTTTTAGTCCTATCCCAGCTACTCACCACGTGAATGATCTGGTCTGCTTCTATCCTCACTTCTTTCCAGTTGGGAGACGAGTGCCTAGTTTCAGACCTTATGGTCTGAAAATTCTGTACCTTTCCTAGAGATTTCTTTTTATGGTCTCTGACTTGACTTTTTTTTTTTTTTAAAGAATCTTTCTTCTGATATTTAACGTTAGTTGCCCAATGCCTGGATCAGTGATGGTTAAATGGAATTAGGTATTTGCATATCCTATGTAGAGAAAAATGAAATAAGAATAGAACTGGATAAGTTCTGCTTTAGTTCCCAAAACTTACACCAAACTTGAACATTTTTGTTCGTGGTTTCTATTAGAAACCACTTGGTTTCTATTAGAAGCTGCTCTAGAGACTTCTTTGGAGGATAAAAATAGTCAAAGATAATTACAGGGCAAAAGTAGGTACAAAAGATTTGGTGTGCTTTCCTTTTTCTTAATCTAGAAATTGATAATTTTTATGGCTATATTAAAAAGTCTTCGCATAAGCAGGCTTTCAAGTGTTGTACATAATAAAATGAATACTAGATTGCCCTCAGACTGCTTTTATTTCCTGCAGGAAAAAAAGTACTGAAAATTTCTTATTACTGAATTTATGCAGCTTGCTGTACGATGGCCACGCTCACTTAGGAAAAGTCTGTTCAAACCACATAAACATCCAGAGCATACAGTATATCCAAAGGGCAACTGACACTACAAAAGATTTTTGTTTGCCTGTAGTGTGTGTTTTAAGTAAATGACAGTAACTTTTCTTACTGGTTTTGAAATAAGATTTTATTTATACAACTTTATGAAAGCACATCGACATATAAAAATTTCATGTTTGTTAAGCCACTTTTATGTTCTCATGTAGTAGTAGTAAATAATATGAAAGCATTTGTTAAAGTCTACCATAGATGCAACTTTGAATAGTTTTGGAATTGTAAAGAAACATAATGTTACAATTATAGTCTGTGGATTATGTAAAATTATTTAATGTTGCTGGAATAGCCTGAGTTCTCTTCCCTCAAAAATTCTGAGTTGGGAAGTGAAAAGTTTGTCTTGTATTGAAATAAGTGGCCATTGCTACCCTAGTTTATGTGTTGTGGATATTTTAAAGCAAAGAGAAAGGGAATTTTATATTATTAAACTTGAGGACAAATGTCATAATGAAATGTGACTGGAGTAGCTATGGTATTTATATGGTGTATATATTTAGGATTATTGCATGACATATTTCAAATAAGAATTTTAACTGATGACAGTTTTATAGCCTATTCATAGTACCATTGAAACAGCCTTAAATTACTGTCAGTTTCTCATGTTATAACATCAAGATCCTTGCACAGAGTGGCTGGTGGAGGTGGGGTAGAAACTAAATATGCAAGCTTATCCCTGCATATGAAGTTCTTCAAAATGAGAGATAAAATAGGTATTTTCTATGTTTCAGATATATTGAAACAAATTTTTTGGTTAAATTTAGAAAAATGATATATTTCTCACACATGCTTCTGATACACATTTAAATTTGAGTTAGAGGAGTATTTTTTGCTTATATGTTGTATGCAGTAATATTTTTAAACATTTTTGGTGTTGCCTAAATCAAATCTAAAAGTGAAAAATTTCCTGAAGTAGCAGTAAGTTCCCCTATTATATTTGAATCTTCATCAGACCAAACAGCAAACATTTATTAAAATAGATATCGGAATAGACTGTTCCTACTTTTCATGGACAGTTTCATTTAGTGTATGTCTGTGAGCCAGATCTGTGTGTGTATGTCTGCTTATGTCTGTGATATCTATCTGGTTATAAATGAATGAATGAAAGTCATTTGTGTCAGAAAAGACATATCCACTTTTGGATTTAGTAGTTGGAAGTTAAACTTGCTTTGTGTGATTGTTTTATAAGCCTTCAATTCTTTGTGTTCAATTTATTCAGTAAAGATAAAAAGCAAACATGGTTCTGTGCCTGAATAGCACTACAGCAGACCAATTAATATCACATTTTTATCACTTAACAGTGTTACTCTACACTTGTAAAATGTTTATAATGTGAAGAGAATCTAGGAATTCCTAAAGTAAAAATTGTCAATGAGGTGATTATTTGTATGTTAATGAAAGAGTGGTCCTTGGAAAAATGTGTATAGATGAAAAAATAAACAACTTTATAGTTTTTAATAGCTGGCTTTTATGTAAACGAGTTCATTAGATGTAGGCACTTGTTCATCCAAGTGGTAACCATTAATAATGGCAATTATTGATCTTCACTGTGAGTCAGGACCATCTCAGTGGTCACACGTTGTATAAATTGTATTAAGTTTGAATAAATTTGTATAAAATTCAGAAAGAAAGTAATTGAAAGTTTCTGTTCCAGTGATATAAAATTAAATCTGGACCCCCCTAAATGAAATTTTCAAAGTATGCTCATTCTTTTTGGATATGGACCACTAATTCAGAGGTAAAGGCCAACTAAAACAGCTGAGTATAAGTATATATAATGAAATATTAATTAGCAATTCTTGCCACCTATACCTTTTCCTCCCTCATTGAGTTAGTGTGGTAAGGAGCCCCTTTTATCTGTGGGAACCTGTGGTATCCTTGACTGAAGAATGGGTAAATGTTTATATAAGAAGTATCTAAACTATGATTCATGATAATTTTCCTCATTTAAAGTAACTGTAGAGTAGATGGTAGCTTTTAATATACATGAATATAAAACCTTGAATTTGCTAATTAGTAATTCTTGTGCAGGAAAAAAGATATGAAAGGATTCTATGCCTGCGAACTCTTTATGGGGAATATTTTTGGGAAATTTAATTTGTAATTGAATCAGCAGTTCCATTTTGACATCTCAGTATAGGGGCAATGAAAGACTGTAGAGGGCACAGTTTCACCTTTCTGCCTGTGCTCAGTCTGTTTTGTTTTCTGTAACCTTTGTGATATGATTGCTACATTATAAGAAAGGATTCTTTGATGAGAGTTAGTATATAAACTCTGTGTACCTTTGGGCTAAGGATAAGCTGCTATTTATTAACTTAATATATTTACCGGGAATGTTTTGTTTTAGGTATTTGAGAAGAGACTTTGAAAAGAGAGATTAAAAGGAAGGTTGGGGCAGGTTGGAAGAAAAAAATGCATGTATTGCTGAGTTTTATGTTGACAATGTGGCGCTTAATGGAAAGAGTTATATACATCATGAAGGAAGAGAACTGAAGAGGGTATGGTAGGCCTCACTCTACAACCATTTCACAAATTGTCATTAGGTATACTACTTAAGTACTTTGTATAGGAAAGCTTTTCAAATCACTAGAGTTTTAGAATATACTGGTTGAAAAGTACTGCCATAGGAAGTGGCTCATAGTTATTTTAACAAAAAAGCAAACAAAAAGACTTAAATCACCAGAAGCTTGATAGATATTTTAAGTACAACTTATTGAGCTGCCTTATAGTTCTATAATTCAAGTATTTATTTTTTTGTAGCAATCCCATAAATGTGCTTATTCACATTATTTTTATTTTGCTATTTTATATGTTATCAGAATATAAAGTTCTTATATTAAGGCACTGGAAAAGTGCTTTATCAATAAATTAAGGATTGCATCCCTATCCTTTAGTTTGTTGAGGTTTTTTTGTTTTTCAGGGTTTTTTTTTTGTAATGATGTTTTCTTGTGTTGTAAGTGAGAAACTGTGTGTTTGAGTACAGTAAAGCTGTCTGAGGGAAGAAGCAAATGTTTTATCTAACTTATATAGCATACAGTATGTGTCATTTGAAAGATGCACTACTCCTAGCACAAGCAATCTTATCATCTGGCCAACCAAGAGACAGAAATATCCCAAGCCAAACCCTTGTACCTTGTGTATTACAAGGTTGAAGGATGTTAAAAGATTAACATTTTATTTTATAGGTATTGTTATGGTCTAAAAGCAATTCTTCTTGCTGCCAGTACTGCACATACTTTATTCATAGTTGACACCATCAAATTTAATCATACTGAGAAGTTTAAGATCTAGGGTTAGTAGTTTAATAGGAAATGAGAAGTCCAAAATTTATCAGTATGAAGTGGCTTTTAAGAGCTAAAATAAATATGAGCTCCAGTAGAATTTCTTTGCCAAAATTTTTCCTTTTAATAAAACCTGTTTTAAGTATGACAGGTATATTTCAATTAAATTAATGTAAATGCTACCCTTGATTTGTATAATTTTTAACACGTCAGATTGCTCCAACACTTCATAACTCCCTTTAAGTTTTGTTAACATGAAATTAAAACTGATCAACAATGTTCCCATTGTAGTAATGGTGAAATTCACTATAATATGCCAGAAATTCGAATGAGATGCCAATGAGGAAAGATGGAATCATATGTTCTTAATACTGTAACATTTCTCCATTGTGTTTTTAAGGGTTTATCATAGGTGGGATATATTTCTTGCTAAATAATGGGATTACTCTGGTATTTTATACACTTTCTTTTTTTGTTTTTTGGTACTGGGGATCAGGACCTTGTGCTTGTGAGGCAGGCAGCGGCGCCACTCAACTATGTCCCTGGCTGTTTCATTTTTTAAATTGTGGGTTTGCACTTGCTGGTTGATTTCGTGACTGCTAATGGGTTGTGTGGCCGCAGTTCGAAAAACATTGGTCTGGAATGACCATATTGTGTGAGCAGAGGAATTGCACGGTGCAATTCTGAGTGGTAGCAAGGTTCAGGTTGTATAGAACTTTGGCGGCCCCAAGTAAAAATTTTTGGCTTTTCAATGGGATAGAAAAACCATGAGGGCTGTAAACTTGACACACTTTGGATTTTAAAAGGTCGCTCTGGATGTGGGCTGTATACTTGACACACTTTGGATTTTAAAAGGTTGCTCTGGATGCAGGGTGGGAAGTGGATTGAAAAGGTGGACCTAGAACAGAGGTGAACAAACTGTGACCCTCAGGTCAAATCTACTTTTTTGCAAGCCTGTGGGCCAAGACTGGTTTTTTTGCATTTTACATTTCATGTTGTTAAGACTATTTAGTTAAAAGAAGAATAATATTTTACAACACATTAAAATTCTATAAAATTAAAACTTTAGTGTCGAAAAGCAAGGTTTTGTTGAAAAGTACCCCCGTTTGTTTACACATGAACGATATATAGCTGCTTTTGTGCTGAACTGGCCAAGTTGAGTAGTTGTGACTGAGATGTCATGTCCAAAAGCCTGGTTTATTTACTATCTTACCTGTTTTCACAACAAACTTTTTGATCTTTGTGCTGGGGTCTGATGTATTTTAAACTGTTATAAAATTACAATAGGGAAAAGAATCCAGTGAGAACTAAATTCAAGTTCAATTTGTACAGAGGTGACTGGATATTTTAAAGGAAGCCTGGAGGAATATAGAAGAAGGTAAATGGGGGCTCAGAATATGAGAAGTGAAAAATTTTAAGTGTCAAGTGGTAGTTGGTTTATGTGAAACTAACCTGGGTTTGCTACCTGGCGTTCAATGGAAGTTAGACTTTTACCCACTCACAGAGACTAGGAAATGGCCTTGTCTTCAGGGGTTGATTGCAACAGTAAATTCTTTTGGTAGCCATGAGTTTTCTGAGGCAGGCTCTGTAAGAGGATTCTCTTAGGTGTGAGTGAGCTATTAGAAACTATGTTTGTATTTTGTTCCAGTCTTTTTTTTTTTTGGCACCAGAGATCAAACTCGGGTCCTTGCACTTGTAAGGCAGGCCACTGAACCACTGAGCTAAATCCCTGGCTTGTTCCAGTCTTTATAGCCTAATGGTGAGGCCTAATAGAGAACAGAGGAGACCTACTACAGTTTGGTCAAGGGGAGAATTTTTTAGCAGGCATAGAAGTTAAGTCTTTCATTGTTCAAGAGAGACAGTGGTGGCTTAGCTGAGAGGTATCAGTATAATGGGAATAAATAGATGAGAGTGGGGAATATTTTAGAGGGGGAACAAGATGACTTGCTCTTGAATTATTATACTCCCTAAGGAATTGATTGAGAAGGTCTCTTTTCCTTTCACTAAAAAAAAGTAAACATTCTTTTGTACTTCCTCTAAATATATGTTGATTTTTTTGCTATGTAGTCTAGGCAGGCCTTGAACTGTGTAGCCCAGTGATCCTCTCAGTGCTGGAGTTACAGGCATGTACCACCCCTCTTGGTTTATATGTTATATTTTAAAAGACAAAAGATATATGCAACTCTTGAAAGCAACTGTTATGTAAAATGAAAATATAAAATATGTCTGTCTCGCATACACCAGCATTTGGAATTGTGTAACTTTTTCTGTATAATTAGCTTACGATTTTAAATTTCTTAACTTTTTACTTATATGCTCATCCTAAAAGTTTGGCCAACCTAGTCTTTTAAAATGCAGTACATTGTTTTAAATGATTTGCAAGTATAAACTTTGGGAATGAAGCAATATTGGAGAGATAATGGCTGCAAATATTACTGAATTAGGGCCGGAGATTTGGCTTAGTGGTTCCACCACTTGCCTCGCAAGCTCAAGATCCGGAGTTTGATTCCCGGTTCAAAAAAACAGAAACATCCAACAACAACAACAACAATAAAAAACTAAACCAGAAAAATATTACTGAATTAATGAAGGACAGGAGTCCTTAGCAAGTCTAATGAGCCCCAAGCAGGATAAGCAAGAAATTAATCCTCACAGAAACAACGTCATAACAAAGAAATATGGCTGTCTTTTTGTGGGTAGCATTGTCTCACTAAGGTACTGAAATAGATTTGTCTATATAGTTTTAAATGTTATTTATGGTAATAATGATACATTTTTAATTGGTCTGTTTGGCTACTACTGTCCAGATCATTTTGGGAAGTGTTGATAAGTTTTTGCCATGGATTATTAGTGTCTAAATATTAATTAGTGGTGCTGTGGAGAAAGTATTTCTTCTGTGACTAATTTTCTTCTTGAGGGAATTGAAATACATTGTCAAGAAAATGACTATACAACTTCTTTCAGAATGTGTAGGGACTGTAAGGTCATAGATTAAAAAACAAGAATGAATTTATGTGAAATTTTAACCAAAAAATTTAATACCTTTCTTATGCATTTAATCCAACTTTAGTATTTTCTCTTTCTGTGTCATGAAATCATTAATTTATTTTTCCTCTGGTTTTTACTGATTATTCTTTCCCTGTTTCTTTTTCATAGTCTTTTAAAGAACAGCTATAATTTCAAGTCACTTAAAAGGGTTTATTCATCTTATGTTTAAAAGGTAAAATGAAACAAAACAATCACCTCCCCTTGCTTTCTTTATCTTTTCTTTTACTTTATTTCCCCCTACTTTTGCACCATCCATCAGCAAATTTAGTGAGCTCTTGGTGAAAATAATTATTCTGATTTCCCACATGGGATAACTGTTTTATAGGCTACAGTCAGGCAGAAGGCAATCTGCCCCCTCCTCTTAAATCAAGCACTAATTCTAGTCTGCTGTAGAGTTTTGTGATCTAAATGTTCCCTGGTCATTTACTTTCAAAAGACTCATTAATGAGAAAGTGCACATGCATTGGGAGGATGGTGTGGAGAGAATTTCCAGGCAACTTTCCTTCCTACTGTACATACCTACCAGCATGTACATATTCCCACTGCCTTTCAAAATTATTCTTTCCCTTTTAGAAATTCTTTATAATAGCCTCTATTTATAATCTCATTTTTAACATTATGACATAAAAATAAATGTGTGTATGTATTTGAGATATAAAACTTACTCCTTTAAGGTTCTTACTTTTCTAGGTGCCAGTCTGCATTTGGTGACATCCTTTATTAAATTGTTTTATGTGTCTTCTATAAGTTTCTTTCCTTTTAGTCATCCATATAAGAATTTTAGACGAGTAACTTTTCACTTTGCACAATAAAATTTTTCTACTTGCTTTTTATATATATTTGCTGCGGATGCATGTATTATTTTATCAAGATACAAGTTTTTATCCAGGAAATATTCACATTTTCTGTGCACATTTCAATATACACAAATAAGTTTAGCTGTTAGTCTTAATTCATCAAGCTAAATTTTTCTTTATAGTCATTCTCAATGTGTCTTGAATATTAAATTATGTTTGTATATTGTTATTTAGGTGACTATTATATGGTTAAAAAGATTTTGGAGGAAAACAGTTCAGGTGACTTGAACATAAATTGCGTAGATGTGCTTGGGAGAAATGCCATTACCATAACTATTGAAAACGAAAACTTGGATATACTTCAGCTTCTTTTGGACTACGGTTGTCAGGTACAAGGCTAGATAATTTTATCTAGAAGCTTCTAAGAAATGTTAGATGTGCCATGTTTGCATCCTTCCTTTCAGTTTACTTTTTATTTTCTCCCTTTTCTTTCTTTCCTTCACCTTCTATTTGCTTGAGCCACAAAGAAATACAAAATACAAACCAAAGAAGCCATTTTAGTGTGATGCTTTATCTTTTCTCTTGTCATCTTTCCCTACCTGATAGAGGTAATGACTTTGTTTTTATTACCTATATTGCCAGTATTTGCATTATATACCTAAAAATAGTATAAGTGTTCTGGGAGTGTCAGAGGGACAGATTTTTTTTCATGGCACATGTTATTTACAGGCCTGCAAACAAAAGGCTCCTGACTTACAATTTTCAGTTTGTCTGGTTTTCTTCTAAGATTCATTAAATTTTTTAAATTTGAAGTTTAATATTTACTTATGTATAAAGATCATTGATTATTTTAAAACTGGAAAAGATAGACCTTTGTATTTGGCTTTGTATCATTTCAGATAGAAAAGCAAACATGCATATACATCTCAAAACAATTCAGTCTAAAGGATTCTGAAGGAAATTTAATAATAACATATTTCCTCTCCTTGTTTGGTTGGACTTATGTTGTCTGTTAGCAACATAATTTTTTTTTTTCTTAATGGGGCATAGTTTTTGAGTGATATCAGCCAGCGCTCAGCAGGCTTTCTGAATATAAGTATGTAATTCTATGTACATCTCTATTATACCATATGGTACTACGTCACATATATTCTTAGAATAAAAGAAGAAGTTGTTGAACCCAGCAAATTCAGCTATCCAGAACACAACTGAGAACCATAAAGTAAGCGAAATGTATCTCTGAGCAGCCAGGATAGCTGTGATGAAGTTTTCAAATTAAATTTAGTTGTAGTACCACTTGGGCAGCCCACTTTCAAAATCTGGTTTTTTGTTTGTATTTTAAATTCCATTTTAACAAACTTAATTTCTTAATCCAGAAAGAATTTGAAGGGCAGAGGAAGGGACATTAGTGCTGCAGTGCAACAAAATGAGACAGTACTTTGGACACTATTTAGTAAAGAAGTCAACAGCATTTCATATCTGATAATCTCTGAGGGAGCTATGAATTAGAATGGTAATTAAAATTTATAATAATGGCCTAGAATCAGTAAGGGAAAGTTAAATTATATTCAGTACCTATTATTTCAGAAGAAGAATATACTTATATAGTACTCTGAAATTAGATTTCCATCAAATGGTTCACATTTTAATGTTAAATACTTAAAGGCATAAGCTTCAGTTATTTAGAAAATAAAGGTTAAAGAAATTCAGTCCCTGATTCTGGATAAAAGAGGTGTTATGGTATAATGACTTTTTGCATATATGGTTATATGTATATAATAATTCTGCATTCATTTTTTTTTTTACATTCTTGATTGCATTCGAACATCAGTGTCAACCTATGTAGATGTTCTTTAATAGATCAGAAAACTGAGGCTCATAGACTTTAATGAATTGCCCAAAGTTCTAAAATTAGTAAAAGTAAAGATAAAATTTTTCACTTTCTGACTGTAAATCCCATGCTCTTTCCAGTTCAATGTATCCTGTCCAGGCTACCTATGTCTTATTCTGTCTGTCAGTGTCCAGGGCCTTTAGTTTGCTGTAAGATTATTGAAATGAAGGAAAATATGGATTCTTTACTAAAGGCTTTTAAATGCTTTAGATAAGTAAAGTGAATATGAATAATACAAAAATGTATTTAAGTGCTGACTTGAGTGCTTGACCCTTGTATATTGCTTTACAATTTTAAAGTACTTCTTGTATTTTATCCTGTATTACATTGGTGTTTTTCAATTGAATGGTTTTGTCCTCACCAGTGGATATTTGGCAATGACTGGAGACATTTCTAGTTTGTTGAAGGCAGGTTACTACTGGTATCTAATACGTAGAAGCTAGAAATGCTGCTGAACATCCTACAGCACATATAGGATAAGCTACCACAGGGCTGGGATTTAGCTCAGTGGTGCTGCTCCTGCCTTGTCAAGTGCAAAGTCCTGAGTTCACTCCCTCGTATGGGGGGTTAGAGGGAGGGATAGCGAACACAGTTTTTAAAAAATCTGGCCCAAAATGTCAATAGTATACTGAGAAATCCTATTTTATACTTAAACTTTTATTTTCAATATGAACATTTTAGAAATACAGAAAAGGTTGAAGACTGTTGAGGGTTGGACCTATTGGGAAAGGTTTCATTGGAAGAAATGAGCTTGAGCTCAGCCTTGAAATATTGCTAACACTTATATAGTACTATTCTGTGCCAACAACTTTAAATATATTCACTTACTTAATCCTCACAACAGCCTTATGTGGTAAATACTGTTATTATCCTTATTTTATTGAGGAGGAAACTGAAGTTCAGGAAGATTAGTCCTTACAGGTATAAGTAGAACAAGGGCTATAGAGAAGGATGTAAACAAAGACAGGTGCAATGTGCGCGCTGTGTGTGCGTGTGTGTGTGTGTGTGTGTGTGTACATATTATATTTATAGTTCAAGCTGGCCTGAAACAGCCATCCTCCTGCCTCAGCTTCCTGAGTGCTGGGAATACAGGCATGCACCACCATGCAGTGTATAGTCCTGAGACACTTAATTGACAGCTTTTTGTGTGTGTATTTGGGCTTTTAAATTTTTAAATGATTTTTAAAAAAATTTTAGTTTTTTAAAATATGTGCATAGTACATAATGTTTACATTTCTTGTGGAAAGTTGGTACATATACATAACACATTCAAGTTCCTTTTATTAATCGCTTATCCCTTCCTTCCCTCACCCCTCCCTCCATCTCTTGGTCTTCCTTTTCCTTTGAGAACCATCTGACTCCCTAATTTCTATTATCTGTCTTTATTTTGCTCTTTGTTTATTTTTATTTTTATTTATTTTTGCTCTTGAGTTTTACTCTTCTTTTTGAACAAAATATTTGGGTTAGAGAGTAATGGAAATTACAAGGAAAAATAACTAAAAGCTGATGAAAAACGCCTTGAATACTAGGCTGAAGAATTTGGCTTGATATGACAGATAAATTTTGAGAAAGGGTGTGATACATGTCAGCTATTTAGAAAGATAAAACTAGAAGCTGAATTTAATATAGATTAGTAGGGAAGACTATAGCCCACATGAGCAGTTTTCATAGTAATCCAGATATGAAGATGTTTAGGCTTAAAGAGTGGCAGTAAGAAGATGGGGAAAAGGCAGATATGAGAGATGTTATAAAAGAAGAAGTGACAGATCTTACGGAATTTTTAAATTTGAAAAGGGAGAATTGAGGAGTCTAAGATGATTTGGAAATCTTAAACATGGGCATCTGGGAGGAGGATGAAAGAAAAACAAGTTGTGAAGAGAAATCAGTATTGGGGCAGACGAAAATGATTTCTGGTTTTAGCTCTGTTGATTTGGAAGCTCTCAGACAGCTCCCAACAAATAATCACAGGGAGTGGTTATTTGTTGCATGTATAGGGAGTGTCAGGCTAAAGAGATACAGGAGCCAGGTATGGTGGCACACTCCTGTAATCTCAGCTACTCAGGAAGCTAAAACAGGAGGGTCCAAGTTTGAGGCCAGCCTGGGCAAGTTAGTCCAAGAGGACTGTGGGTGTAGCTCAGTGGTATAGTGCTTGCCTAGTATGCGTGAGGCCCTGTGTTCAATCCGTGCTGCAAAAATGACTAGATAGATAGGTAGAGAGATACAGTTGGCAGTCGTAGGCATGAGGAGGACCACTGATGTCATGTAAGTAGGTGAAGTTATAAAATAGAGCAAAAGGGTTGGTGCAGATTCATTCTTAGCCTACATTTAAGTAAGGGCATTGGAAGGAAAGGGTTTCATTAAAGGAGACCAGGTGAATGGTGGAAGATGCAAGAAGCAGTTAAGGTAATGTGGAATTATGAAAGACAAAAATGTTTAATATGTTATTTAGTAATCATGAAAAATAAGCTAGAAAAGGCCACTGGATTTTGAAAGTATGGCATCGATAGAATTAGAGAAAATTATGCACATTTATTTGAGAAGTTTGACACAGGAAAAGCACAAGGAAAAGTGATAAGTGGTAAGACAAAGATAGGATAAATTAAATTAGTAAGAGTTAAAAATGATTTAAAATTGAAATGGGAGTTGACATTGCTATTTCTGTCAGTGAAGACCCAAGCTCCTATAGAAGATTGGAGGGCTCACTGGGCATGGAGGTGCATCCCTGTAATTCCAGCATTTGGGAGGCTGAGGCAGGAGGATCACTGCAAGTTCGAGGCCAGCCTGGGCTACATGTTGAGTTCAAGGCCAGCCTGCACTAAAACAAAAAAGATTGGGAGCTTTAAAGAAAATATTAAGATGGAAAATTATGCTTGGAAGGGAAATAAGGGGAAAGAGTATGGGAATTGTTGAAAAGAGGAATTCTGAGGTGAGAAGGAAAATAGTGACTTCATAAATACATAATAAATGTTATTGAAATGTTATGGAAAATATCTTAACAAGGAATGGTCAGGTAACCAAAAAAGTGAGGAAAACTAATGAGGATATTTTATATACTTGTATATATTTTTAAAATAACGTAACATTTTTGTCTAACAAAACTGCCATTTGTATATCAAAACAGTCTATACAGAATAAATCAATGGAACTATTTAAATGATGTTTTTATATAAATATTTTTGTAGCTGAAGCTTATCCTTTTAAGCATTGAAAGATTTAGTGTAGGTCTTTAATCTTTACCAAGTAGTATATCTGAATATAATTTCACTTTACCATGATAAGTTGGGGCCATTGAGAATGTAATCATTCTACTTTGCTTCATATATTCCAAAATTATTACCATGTTTATCCTTACATTAAATATCTTCAGATTGCTGTGGATTGAGAGTAATTTTATTATACGGATCTCCCCCCAGTGGTCAAGTTTTAGCAATTTTTTTTCTTCCTTCCCCTGTCCTCTTTGTTGGTTTTATTTAGCTGTTTCCTTATTTAGGTAAAGATCTGAAGATTAGTTGGAAAGATGAGAAATTTGTCATTTACAGACAATTCTTAGTGTGCATAGTCCTATTTCTTTTGGGAAATGAGCCCATGAAGTTAGTTTATGACAGCTCTCTTTTTGTATTGGTATATTTTACATTGGAGCTGGATCCATGTCTGTTTCAGATGGTCAGTGTTGCTGTTTGAGAGCAGTGTCATTTTTTTAATTTTATAAGTTAAAACTAAAAATTATAAATGATGATGAGTACTAATGGAGACAGGGGTCTTTTTTGTTTGCTTCCACCAACTGAATATGGTGTAATTGAAGAAAACGTTAATAATAGAAAAATAATCCTAGAACTTGAGGGCGAGAGTTATAACCCAACGAATCCTAAAATTTTAAAGGAATGAAACAATGGGTTAAATTTTCTTAATGGAAAATATAGATGATTCCTAATGGTTGATTGAGGAGCCCAGTCCTTTATTGTGGGTGTTTAGTCCTATTTCTTGACATCTAGGTAAAGTGGATAAAAGCTTTATTCTTTCAACTACAAAAAATATTAAAAAATCAAATACAGTTTCATTCCTGAGAGCAAGAATGTTGGTTGATTTAAAAAGTACAAATTAAATGTAATCAGGGCATTTTCCTAGGTTAAATCAGTATTCCCATGTCTTGCTTCTGCTTTTACTTTGTTTTTTAAAAAAACAGCAAAAAATGCAAAGATAGGTTGCTGACAGGTTGTTATAGAAAGTTGAAAAGTCCCCATTTCTTTTGTTTACTCTTTCCTCCTGTCAAAAGTGAATTTTTACAGAGAGCTAGCTAGGTTGGAAGTGAAACCAGTTACTCCTCCTTCCATTCCATGAACTTTGGTAACTTTGTTATCTCTACTTGATAATGATTGCTAATAACAGTGCCAAAATTGTACCATGTCATTTGGTTGTGTGTATTTTAATTATGTGAACAGAGAGCTGTCTGTGCATTTTCCATTCTCCCTTATTCTCATGATTGCCTTGATAGTGAGCATTTTTATTAGTCTGAGCATGATCCTTTACTGGTAGTAATAGTTTCTGGCAGTTACCTTTATAGATTTGGAAGAGTTTTTTGGTTCACTATTCAAGAATAAAGGTCTTGAAAAGAAAATTCAACTTTAAATACTGCACTGTATTCAGTAGTAAATCTATTCAATTAGCAATCCCTGTTATCAAGCATTTATTATTTTACTAGCTCATGCATTGAAATCAGGACAGAAATGTGTATACAGAAATGTGTACACAGAAATACTGCTAAGGCAAGCAAATATACCACTTGTACAAGTTAAATTTTTGAAAATTCAGTATTACTGTATATAATACAGTTAAAAATTTTAAGTAACTATTTATAAATTAGAATAAATAGTTTACCTTTTCATCATCCATTTTCATTTTTAACTTTTTTTTTTTTTAAAGTCCGCAGATGCACTTTTGGTGGCAATCGACTCTGAAGTAGTGGGAGCTGTTGATATACTACTTAATCATCGACCAAAACGATCATCAAGACCAACTATAGTAGTTAGTACTCTTAAGTATTTACTAACTTGGATTTTAAACCAAACTAGCTCTCCTGCCCTGTTGCCATTTTTTTTCTTCTCCCAAATTTATTTATTTATTTTTTTAAGACAGAATTTTTTTTCACTTTGTAAAGTATAACTTTAACTAGACTCTTGGTAGAATAACTAGTATTGCTTTGTAAAGTATAACTAAGTAGACTCTTGGTAGAATAATTAGTATTGCTTTCAGGTAACTTTTTAAATGTAGTTGATATTTTTATAATTTTGTCAGTATCAACCAGTGTTTATACTTTGGAATATTTTTCAGGTAATGTTGAAAATATCATTAGTTTCCAGATAGGTTAAAGAATTAAATGTAAATAATTAAACCATAAAACTGAAAGAAAATATCAATGAATATTTAGCTGTTTGGTACTGGAAGGAATTTTTTAAGTATAAAAATGGGACAAAAATCATGGAGGCAGTGGAACTAATATAGAAATTAAATTTCTTGAATTCAAACAGGCAGAATTTAAAAGCAATGGATAATTGGCAAAAGATATTTGCAGCAAATATCTCAAATTAGTAATATTAGTACTAGATAAATCGATGGAAAACACTGTAATCATATTAGAAAAGGACATGAGAATATCCAAAGTACTGTACCAACCCTTACTAATAATCATTTATCACATACTAAGTTTTGCTCATCAGATTAGCGAAGAAAATTTTTAGATGGAATCTCAGTATGTTGCCAAAACTGGTCTTGAACTTGTGGACTCTAAAACAGTTTCCCACCTCAGCCTGAGTAGCTTGAACTATGGATTTATGCCACCATGCCCAGTTTAGCGAATAGTTTTTTAAAAAAGCCAAGCCAGTAATCATTGATGACAAGGGAGTAGCATAGGTTTATACATATACTGCTCGTGGGGCAAGATGTATCATAAAAAAGGTGTTCATACTCCTTAACTTAGTGCATTTTCCTCTTGAAAACTCTGAAGCAAATGGATTTTAAAACTAGGTGAAACAAAACTGTTGATTACAATCTTTTTTGTAGCAATGGGGAAAAAAGGTAATATAAATATTCAGAAAATAGATGGTGTAAGAGTAAACACCCTAAAAGATTGAAAATAATGAATAATTGATAGTACAATGTAATATGCAGTCATTAAAATGATATTTTAGAAACAATTTTCAGGAATATGGAAAAATAAGTATTAAGCAAGAAAAAATGGGGACAGTGAATTGTACATATAATTTGATCTAAGGTTAAAAATAATACATTTAAAGAGATTGTATATAAGTACAACAAAATATTACCTTACAGTGTTCATCTGTTATTTATTGACCAAATTAAGGACTTTTCCACTGCTTTTTAAATTTTCTTTATTGCTTTTATAATTAGGAAAATAGTCACTAATAATCAAATACTTAAAAAGTGAGATACTTCTTGTTCAAATTTTTTAAATGATAAAACTTATTGGAGCAAGTATAGTGAAACAAGCAGTCTAACTTCTGGGAGTAGAAACAGAAAAAAAGTATTTTTAAAATAATTATAAATTAGTAACAGACTTTCTTCCATGATCTGATAACTATGAGAAGTTATGCTAAATTTCATACTTTTATCATGTGTTAACTGAAAAACTTTACTCGTTTAGATTATTTAAAAAAATCTAACTTGCTGGGCTAGTGGTGCAGCCCACTGGTAGAGAACTTGGCTTAGCATGCACAAGGCCCTGGTTTGACCCACAGCACCACAAAACAAGGACAACAACAAAAATGTGATTTTCTCCAGAGGATAGTACCACCTAGTCTAAGTAGTGATAAGAAACTAACAAGAATAAAGATAAAAAGGCCAAGCATATAGTTCCAGAGAGCTAGAAATACCTAAATTTTAGTCAGTTTTCTGCTATTTACCTTGTACTTAATGGTCACATTTTGGTATACTTTCTATTTAGTCTGTAACCCATTTCATTTCTTGGTGGGAAGAGTGAAATACAGTGTGCTAGATGTTGGAACTACTAATTGGTATTCCTAGTCAATTAAAACACTTTCTAGTTACTCCACGCCTGCCTCACAAGTGCAAGGTCCTTAATTTGATCCGTTGTACCAAAAACAAACAAAAACACTTTCTACTCTGTCTTTAGCAAATAATGATTATTCAGCTTTTATTTGGATACTTCCAATAATGGTAGCATCACATTGTAACAGCACTATTAGCATTACATAGGCAATATTGAATATTCTATGTGCTTTTACCATTTCTGTGAATTAATTCTGTGTTCTTGGCTTGTCAAAGTTCTTTTTTGCAGTTGACTTGGAAATACATGTTTACTTGGTAGTATTAGATTATGTTATGAGCAATGAAATTAGGAATTTTAATCTCATGCATATATAATGCTTTTCATATAGTTAAATATGTTTTATGGGAAACATGAAGGTTCCTTTGCAATTAGGGTTTTTCTTTTGGGATTAAACATAATCTTCTCCTCTATATGACCAGTAATTGCAACAAGAGGGAAAAAGGCTAATTTAAGGATTCCCTATAAATGTTAAATTCATTCATTTGAATTCTCTAGTAAATAAACAAAGTATATAAAGTGTGCATAAAAGGAGAAAAGCAGATAAGTATATCAGTAAATTTTAAAACTTACCAGTAACCAAATAAAAGTAAATTAAAATTTCATAATGATATATTTTCACTCATAAATTAGGAGTAATCATGCCCAGTGCTGGTGAGTAAAGCTTTAGTATGAAAAAGATGCATCTTATGTTATTGGTTATATAAACTATTAAAAGGCTTTTAGCATTATGTATCAAGAGCTTCAAAAATTATAGGCTGGTAGACCTATAATTTTACTTCTTAATGGTCTGTGTTAATGAGATAATCGTGAACTTGCAAAATACTGTTTTCATGAAGATGTTTGTGATAGCATTTTTAAATTTAGCAAATATCTTAAACACAGTGTCTATGACCTTTTTTAGAAAAATTCTGTGCTTCAATTTTTTTCCTCAAAGATCCTGAGCTACAGCTTTGTAAGATTATTAAGAGTCCTTGATCTTTGAACTATTAAGAGCCATTGTTTTTTACCACTACTGCTTAACATAGTTGTTGATGCAAAAGATGACCTCAAAAAGGTGTTTGATAGAGAAAAGAATAGAATATGCTGTACTGTAAAATGTTATTTGGTAGAAGTAATAAGGGTATTTTTATCCTTTCTGCTTTTCTATATTTTTCAGATATTTTATAATGAGTGTACACTATTACAATGTTAATAAAAATTACCAAAATGTGAACTTGATGAGCTTACATTGGAATCAAACAGCTCTCAGGAAAACCTCTGAAAAAGTGAGAAGTATTAGAAAGACTATGCATTAGTCATAAAATAGTTAATCTTTTTATTTAACCCTGATTCTTTAACTATTAATATTTTTTTCCTCATTTCATGTCATTGTCAAGCCACTGGGCCCATGTAGTAGTGGAAGGAGCTCAGGTTCCTGATTAATACAAATCTGGATTAATCATAATGATAGTAATACAAACCCACTCTCTTGTGTGGCTTGGGCACATTAACTTCTCTGAGCCTCAGTTTCTTTGTGGGGATTAATTATGCTCAGTTTTGCAGGCTCCTGGGGGATTAAGTGAGATGATGAATGTAAAGTGTGTAATAGTTCTAGGACTCTTTATTAGTAGTTATGATTGTTAGTGTTGTATTTGTAATAGGAACCAGTATAAGCAATCGTTGGGAATACATAGAGAATTATACAACGTGAAGAGTGCTTCCTTTTTCAGGTTGCTTCATTGCTTTAATGTGACAAAGTTTACCATAGAGGCGGAATTTTTAGTTTTTCTCATGCATTTGTACTCTGCCTATTTTTTAACATCTCCACATTGTATTATATTCTTTTTCTAAAATTCTTGTTCTTTATCTTTGCCATGCATATTTCTATAATCTCATAAAAACCAAATTCTTTTTTCTAAGGTATTTCTCTAAATATCATCACTTCTTTGGTAAGGAAACAACTCTAGTTGTATGATTGTTATCTATTGAGATTTTATCTGTTGTGATTATATTACATTTATTAAAGTTTAAGGTTCTAAAAATTCATTCTGACTAAAATGTTTTCTATATTCCTTAAAAGATTCTTAAGTTCTTTTTGCCTTCCTATGTTTTCATTTCATCCTTAAGATAAATTTTTTTGAAGTCACAAATAATAATTTTTGGACATTTCTATAAATATTTTTCAGAAACTAATGGAACGAATTCAAAATCCTGAGTATTCAACAACTATGGATGTTGCACCTGTCATTTTAGCTGCTCATCGTAACAACTATGAAATTCTTACAATGCTCTTAAAACAGGATGTGTCTCTACCCAAGCCCCATGCAGTTGGCTGTGAATGCACATTGTGTTCTGCAAAAAACAAAAAGGACAGCCTCCGACATTCCAGGTTAGAAAATTAAGATTTTTAATAAATAGATTTGTGATGTAGTAAGTGTATGTCATTGATATTGGCTTTTTAAAATTGCTATTCTCAGGCCCGGGATTTAGCTCAGTGGCACCGTGCCTGCCTTGCAAGCACAAGGTCCTGAGTTCGATCCCCGGTACCAAAAAATAAAGAACTATAACAGGGGTGACTTGGGAAAGCCAGATTGCTAGCTTCTTTGCTGATTAAGTTCTGAATTTTTCAGAAATTTTTATCAATGCTAAATAGGAAGTGAATGAGATCTATCTCATATTCTTGGTGGATGGGAGTACTATTTTGCTTTTCAGAGGTGGTTTATGAGTCCAAGAAAACTTCCAAGTAGTGGAAGGAATAGAGGTACCATTTGAAAATCTTAAATTTTGGCATGTGTCTTTGGTTTGGTTTTAATAGGATTTCTCTACCAAACCTCATGTTGAAATTTGACTCCCATTGTTGCATTTTTGAGAGGTGGGCCTTTGGAAGGTTAGTTGGGTCTTGAGACACTTTATAACAACAAATATGTTTTTTTCAAGAGACTGTTAATTCTTTTGAGTCTGGATTAGTTCTCATGATAATGAAATTGCCTGCATCTCCCTTCTGCCTCTCTCACAGGTGTGCTTTCTTCAGCATGTGCCTATTTTTGCTTCTTATATGCGACCTTCACCAGAGGCAGAGAAGACACAGGCATATGCTCTTGAACTTCCCAGAACTATTAACTAAAATAAATCTCTCTTTTTAAAAAATAAATTCCTCTTTTGAGTATTCTAATTAAATAATAAAACATGACATTAGCCTTTATATATAGCGTGGTGCCTCAGTTCATGAACACTTTTTGTTTGCCAACAGTTTGATTCACAAATAGAAGCATTGGCAAAATTTTGTTTTTGTTTGGAATTTTGCATCAGGTGATGAACACAGTTATAACTATCTTTCCCACAGGAACACAACTATGGCCATCTTTTCCAGATCATGGAATAAATTAAATTCATGAACCAAGGTACCACTGTATACATAATTAAAAATAATAAATTAATTAAGCATACCATTTATATATGCAAATAATAATTATAGTTGATAAGGTATCAAAGGTAATATCTACTCTGGAAAATAGACCTAGAAGTCCCAAGCAGTCTATTGACAAACATTTTTAAGTTAAAAGTATTTGCATAGTATATAAAATAAAACTTAAATCTCCAAACTATTCTCTCCCTTACTTTATTCACATACCCTTGATGTATTGACAGTCACAAATCTATAAATTGGGAAAGCTTCCTGGGAACCAGTTTAATGTTTATTTGCAGAGATTTAACTAGAAATATTTTGTATTTTCAAGTCTGTTTTAAAACAGATGTATTTCCTCTTTGGTAACATCTGATTTATAGCTATGGCTATATCACTTTATTTTTTAGTTTTAAAATAAGTGGTTCATAAAATGACAAGGAAAATTATCATTAAGGCTTCTTCCGGTTGTAAAATCTTTCATTAAATGTAAATATTTTCCAAATTATATGCTTCTTAAAACATGTAGTTGAAGCAGCTGGGGGTGAGAGTTTGAGGCTGGAGAAATCATTTAATCTGGCTTGGTTTGAGGCTGGAAAACAGCATGTTCTGAAATAATTTAAAGAAATTATGGCTTAAGATAGATCTTTTAAGAATGAATAAGAATTAAAAGGTGAAATATTTTAGGCAGAAAGTACAGCATGTAATTGTGGTTTATTTGGGAGCTGCAAATGGTTAGGAATATTAGCAGAAGAGTTTGAGGGAGTTTAATACTGATTCTTGAGAAAACAATTATAGCAACTGGAAAAGGGCCTTTTCTGATGTAATTTCCAGGAATTGTTAAGTAGAACTCCAGAAGAAAAGAAGGCTAACAAAATGAGTAAAAAAAAGGGAGATGGTATGATTTCTGTGAAGTTGAAGCCAGTGTACTAACAGAAAGTAAGATGATCTGTATTTATATAAAATACTATTTTTTACATTTCAGATATGGTGTAGTTCCAGGTGATGATAATACTAGGGGCAATATTTCTAGATGTGGTAGGGAAAGATAGTAGACTACTTGAGTTTATTAAACATTTTCAGTAATATAATTGCTATTATTTAGTTTTAGTATCCATATTTGATGTATTTTGAATTTGCAAATAACTTTAAAAGAAGATATGAAATCTTAATTATCTATTAAAGGGAGGCAAACTTTAAAAACTTGAGAAATGTTTGAATTAGGATAGCACAATAATGGATAGCCAGTTAATTTACAATGGACTTTGTTCAACTTCACAGTGTTTTTTTAAAATATAATTTTCTTTTCAGTACACAGTGTATACTCAACTTTAGTCATATTATTACCCATTGTACCTCTGAAGGCAAGTGAATTTGCAGAACTCAGCAAGGTCCCTACCAGGTATCGCATAGGATGTTGATATGGTGAGCTCTGAAGCAAGAGTGGTTTTAGGAGTATGGATTTTTCTGGAATTGTAGCAAGAAAATAGGTTGAGAGAAACACTGATGACGAAGTCCTTAGAGTCCTGGAGATCAAAAAATGGCAAGTGATGATGATAAGGAGATATTGGAATAACTAAATGTTATGATCTTCAAAAAAGTGATTTGGATTTCTCTAAAAATAATGGATGAATTCTGTAAGATTTAAGTGTTATGAAATAATGCTTTCCTATTTCCAGTGTTTCTAATGGAACATAATTGTTTGTTCCTATAAAACCTTAAGTTGATTATATGTGAGACAAAGTAATCTTCACACGTGTCTTACATATATGGAAACTTTACTTCCAGTTTGTTTTATTTTTTTAAAAAAAGTACTCAGTTACACAAGACTATATGAATAAATTTTTTTGAATAAATTTTTATTTTTGTAAAATTCTTTAACAAGGAACAGACATCTCTTGACCAATCCGAATTCTGTTTTCTGTAGAGCCAATGACTTAGCAAGTGTGGCATTCTCTCTGTTCTCCTTATGGCTAATTTACCACTTTTCAACATAAACTCTCAAGTCAAGGAGAGCCAGGAGTGAGGTGTGTCAAGCCTTAAAAGAAAACAACCTCCAACGTAGGCTGATGTATCCTGCAAAACTATCTTTCAAGATTGATGGGGAAATAAGATACTTCCATGACAAAGAACACCTGAGAAACTTTATGAATGCCAAACCAGCACTCCAAACAATTTAAATGTCCAAGAAAAAGATAATGAAGGTTGCAACTCCATGAGGCCCAACAGAGCAAATCCAAATATTTCGTCAGGCAAGGCAAGAAATTAAAGGGGGGAAGGATAAAACTGAGCCAACAGCAGGAAAATAACATAACAATGATAGTCACTACATATCAGTTATAATCATCAATGTTAATGGCCTCAATTCACCAATCAAAAGAAAAACAGTGGCAGAATGGATTAAGAAGCAAAATACAACAATATGTTATATTACAAGAAACACACCTGGTTCAAAAAGAAACTCATAGACTGAAAGTAAAAGGATGGGAAAAATTTCTCCATGTGACAGGAAGCTGGAAAAAAGCAGAGGTAGCTATCTTATTTGCAGACAAAATAGATTTCAAACCAAAACTAAGAGAGACAAAGGTCACTACATCCTTGTAAAGGGAGCAATCCAAAAGGAAGACATGACAATCATAAATATATATGTACCAAATACTAATGCCCCCCCAATTATAGAAAACAAATATTAAGAAACATGAAAAACCAAATAATCACTAATACAATTGCAGTGGGGGGCCTCAATACCCCAGTGTCACAAAGAGACAGATCATCTAGACAAAAAATCAACAACAAAATACTAGAACTGAATTTAGCCTTTGAACAAATGGACTTTATAATAGACATCTACAGAGTGTTCCACCCCACAAAATAAGAATATACATTCTTTTTGGCTGCACATGGGTCATTTACCAAAGTAGACCATATACTAGTTCATAGAACATGTTTTAAGTAAATGAAAAGGAATTGAAGTTATCCCATGTATGTTATCAGACTGTAGTGAAATTAAACTGGAGATCAATAGCATAAGAAACCCCAGGAACTTCACAAGCACATGGAAATCGAATAACACTCTCCTGAACAACCAGTGGGTCACAGAAGGAATTAAACATTTTTTACAATTTAATGATAATGCCAGTACAACATACAGGAATTATGGATACAGTGAAAGCAGTTCTATGTGGAAAATTCATACCAGTAAATGCCCTCCCTAAGAAAAATAAACAAATAAACAACCTAATGCTGAATCTTAAGCTCCTGGAAGAAGAAGATCAAGAGAAACCCAAACAAGAGGAAGTTATAAAGATCAGAGCAGAAATCAGTGCAATGGAGACTAAGAGAATGATACAAAAAACAAATCGAAGAGTTGGTTTTTCAAAAGAATAAATAAAATTAATAAATTCTTAGCCAACCTTATCAAAAAAATGAGAGAAAAGGCTCAAATTCATGCACATAGGAATGAAAAGGTGAAGTCACAACAGATCCAGCAGAAATCCAGAGGATAATCAATACTTACTTTGAGAAACTGTACTCTAATAAAATGGAAACATAGAAGAAATTGATAGATTTCTAGATACCTATAAATTACCAAAATTGAATGAAGAATATAAAAATTTTCTAAACACCCCAATTGCAATCAGTGAATTTGAAAATGTAACTAAAAGTTTACCAACGAAGAAAAGCCCAGAACCTGATGGATTCACTGCTGAATTCTACAAGACATTTAGAGAAGAACTACTGCCACTACTCTTTAAACTTTTCAGTGAAATTGAAAGGGAAGCAATACTTCCAAATTCATTCCTGGAAGCAAGTATTACTTTGATTCCAAAACCAGGGAAAGACCCAACCAAAAAAGAGAACTATAGGCTAATCTTCTTAATGAACATGCAAACAATACAGAGGGTCATCAAGAAGATCATATACCCTGACCAAGTTGGATTTATTCCAAGGATGCAAAGATGGTTCAACATATGTAAATGAATAAA